CCCCTTTTCCCACCGCACCCCCTTTCCTGGAACTCCCCCTCCCCAGTGTAACCCTTCTCTCGTACATCCCATTCCTGACACCCTCCCCCATTCCTTGGAGCACCCCATCCCTGGAGCACCCCATCATGAGACACACACGGGGTGCAGATGTCCCCCCGTGGGCTATAGGGACAGGGTGACATCCCCCAGTGGGAACTGCCCCAGATGTGAGCTGGCTTGGGGGCTCAATACCCACGAGGAGGAACAGCCCGGGGGGTCTGAGTGTGGTGTCACTGCCTGGCACTGTTGTCACCAGTGTCACTGCACGGTGCCTGTTGTCACGGGTGTCACTGTCACTGCATGGTGTTAGCACAGTGTCACCGTCCCTGCACGGTCCCTGGGGTGTGGCACAGTGTCGCTGTCACTGCACACCTCCCCGGGGTGTCACACAGTGTCACCGTGGCTGCACAGCCCCACTCGTGTCACACAGCACAGCCCCGCGGTGCTGCACAGCTTCACTGTTGCTCCCCGGGGTGTCACATGGTGTCACTGTCACCGCGCAGTGCACAGGGTGTCACTGTCACTGCGGGGCCGCCGGGTGCCACGCAGTGTCACTGCAGCTCCCGTGGGTTGTCACACGGAGTCACCGTCAGTGCCCGGTGCAGGGGCTGTCACATAGCGCCATGTCACCGCGTGGCCCACGGGGTGTCACCCACTGTCACCGTCACTGCCGGCCTGCAGTGTATCACCCACTGTCACTGTCACTGCATGGCCCACGGGGTGTCACCCACTGTCACCGTCACTGCACGGCCTGGGGTGTCACACACCGTCACCGCGCAGGACACTCCCCAGTGCCACCCCTGCACGTCCCGTCGCTGTCCCCCGCCCTGTCAGGCCGGCCGTGGGGCGCCCCGGGGACAGCACAGCTGGTGCCAGCAGCCCAAGTCCCCGCTACTCCCACCCCTCGTGCCCCCGGGGGGACACGTCCCCAGCCCGTCCCCTCGCCAGCCGCTCAGCCGTCACCTCGCAGCGCTCACCGCCGGCGCTAATTAACTGCCGGTGTTGGCAGCCCTTAATTGCCGCGCGGCGGGAGGGTGACGGGCCCCGCCGTGTCCGTAATGAGCGGCAGCGTGACAGGGACGGGGACGGGTGGATGTGCCACCCACACCTTGTCCCACCCCCGCCTGCAGCCGGGCTCCCCCGTCGGGCGAGGGACAGTGCCCGGCGTTGGGTCGGGACGTCGCTGTCCCCAGGGCCAGGGCTGACACGGCTGTCTGGCCTGCTAGCCAGCCCCTGGCCACCAGCCAACTGGGCAACTGGCCAGACAGACAGACAGACAGACAGACAGACAGCTGGACAGGCAACCAGCCCGGTGCTCTACTGGCCAGCCAGCCAAACAGCCTGTTGGTCAACTGGCCAGCCAGCCAACTAGCCAACAAGCCAGGCGGGCAATCAGCTGGCCAATGAACCAACCAACCCACCAGCCAGCCAGCCCACCCCGTGGCCATCTACCACCCAGCCCAACCAGCCAGCCCACTGCCACTGAGCCACTTGGCTACCGACCACCCAGCTCACCAACCAGCCACCTCGTTGGCCTTTAAGCCCACCAGCCAGTTGGTCAACCCACCAGCCAAGCAGCTGGCCAGTCACCAACCTGGCCAACCAGCCAGCCAGCCCTGTGGGTAGCCAGGCAGCCCACTGGCCAGCTCCAGGGTCATCACCTCGGGACCGGTTTGTGGGGTCCTTGCTCCCTTGCTCCCATGTTGATCCGTGCTGGTGCTGCATCTCCCCGGGCTTCCACAGCCTGGAAATCTTCTTAATTCCTCTTCTTAATAACCTCTGCCTCCTAACAAGGTGTTTGGGGTGGCATTTCTTAGGGATGGAGGTGACACAGGCCTGGAGGTTGGTGGCTGGGGTGGCTGGTGTCCTCTCTTGAGACCAGGGGACCATTGCCCTGGGGGTCCTGCCCAAAGACCTGACACCGCCTTCCCTATCCACACCTGAGTGTCCCCCTCCCATGGCCCCTTCAGACCCCACCCTGGGGACACACAAGGGTTTTGGGGGCAGTTTGTGAATGGCTACTCCCTCCCCAGGCTGACATCGGGGTCGTATGTCGTGTCCAGCTCCTAGTGCTAATTACAGCTGAGCCCAAGTAATTACAGCCACCCGTGGGCTGAGCCCACCCAGGCTGACTCCCAGCTGGCGGGGACGGGTGGAGGGTGTGGGGGGCACAATGTCCCTGTGCCCCTGGCCACGCGTGGTCCTGTGGGCAGAGCGAGAGGGGAAACTGAGGCACAGCCCCAGCCGCAGCCCCACAAACCCCCTGCCCCGGCCCGGCTGCCCTCACCCTTCCCCAAATCCTCCTCCTGGAGCCCCTCAGAGAGCAGCAGGTACAGCCGCCCCCCGGCCAAACCCGCGCCCCCGGAGCACCGACTGTCCCCCCTCTGCTGTCGGCGTCCCCCTGGCACCGCCCCCGCCCGCGCTCCGCGCTGCCAAAGCAAACAGCCGGGCATCGATTGTGCGGGAGCTGCTGTTTGCTTAACCTTTGCAGAGGAGCGGCGGGCGGCGAGCGGGGCCGCCGCAGCCACTGCTGCAACTGCTGTCACCACAGCCACTGTCACCACAGCCACTGCTGCAGCCACCAGTGTCACCAGAGCCACTGTCACCACAGCCACTGTCACCACAGCCACTGCTGCAGC